GTAGAATTGATAGATTAGTTTTGTCAGTATTTCAATAATATTATGAAATTATATTTATAAATATTAATTTATTTTATCAAACATGCATTCCATGATGTTCTTATAAAACGTATATTTTTTGTTTTTATAATTAATTAAATTAAATATTATTAATTTGGAAAATATATATCAATTATTTTTACAGTATTAGTTAGAAATATATGATTACTAATTAATGTACAGTAAAGAAAAAATATGCATCTTAAATACCAAATCTAATATCATTTATACTTATAAAAAATCATTTATAGGCATATATTTATTATATTAACTTTTAAGTTTTGATAATTACTTAATTCAAAATTTAATTTAACTGTGTAATTACACTTGTGCAACCAAACAGTACGCTTGTAATTACACTGTAATTACGTTATGACAAACAAACAGGTTGTCGTAATTACTATATTGTGTAATTACCACCCTAGTAACTACACCAATTTCGATTACCGATGACTTTCCAAACAGGCCCTTAGTTGATTCCTATGGAATAAATAAGTATAAAAAGAAAAGAAATTGTTGGAAGGTGCCAAACATGAAAGAAATTGGAATGGAATATTAAATTCATATTAATTGCTATGTTGGCATAATTTGATTCAATTTGAAGTCTTGCTTAAAATATTAAATGCATATATACTTCCATTAGTTATCATAAACTTTTTTCGAATTTAACTTAACAATTAAAACAATTCTTACGAAACTCGTTAAATATATTCTCGACATGAATTTAACCTAAACCTAAATACATTGAAAACAAATTGTTAATCTCATAATATCCAAATTATTATTTTTTTTAATTTCAAATAACAGGTATCTATAAGTTACCTGACTTAATTCTCGAATTCTTGGTAGTTTCCCTCAAGATCCCAACACAGGGAGCTAATTCAGCCTGCCTCAAGCCCCGGTTGATTACGACCTGGCTTCATACTGTAGCAAAGTTTGATTGAATTCCATTCCACTTCTGTAGACTGCTTCTATAAAATTGTGTATTACCCTTATAGATCAATTGAACTGTTGTCGGACAAAATCTTCATTCTACCATTTCCGATGAGTCTCCGATTACAGAAGGAGAAGGAGACGTGACCTAGTTGAGAGAAAGAACATCTAAGGTTCTCAAAGATTGCTATGATTAAGACGTGTGTCCTCCATCATGTGTCTGATAAGCTGCACAGCTGTGGAATTCTGAAAAACACATTAAGGGTAGATTAGGGATTTTACCATGTAACTATTTTCCTTTTGCAATTATTTATTTTACAATTCTGTTAGAGTTTGTTAGCGTAGAAAGATGCCTTGTCAGGTAATTTTACTTGTATATAAAGAGCACACACTGTCTAGATGACAGATAGAATGATACAGAAAGAAAATTCCCACAATGATTTCTCCTAAACCTTCATGGTATCAGAGCAATTCTGAGATCCAATATATTTTTTTTCTCTTTCTTCTCTCTGTCCTTTTCTTCTTCTTCTTCTTTGCCTCACTATCTACATCTGAACAATGGGAGACAAAACTCCAGTTACACCTTCAGCTGTTTCTAAGGATGATGGCACTGGTTCTTCAGCTCCTACCATTGCTCAACAGATTGATATCTCTCATCCTTACTTTCTTAACCCATCTCATAGCCCAGGGATGAACTTGATCAACGCCATTTTTGACGGCACAAGTTATGGGAATTGGATGAGGGGCGTCTTGATTTCTTTGTCAGCCAAAAACAAGCTCGGTTTCATCACTGGAGCCTGTCCTCCACCCTCTCCTCAGTCTGCTCTACTCACTCAATGGAAGAGATGCAACGACATGGTACTTTCTTGGTTGCTCAACTCTGTTAGCAAGGAAATTACAGAAAGTGTCATCTACTCTCAAACTGCTGAAGAATCTGCAAGAGCTGGAGCAAAGGTATGGACAAGCCGATGGCACAAAATTGTTTCAGATGCAGAGAGAGTTTAAATACAATCAGTCAGGGAACTTGCTGATGTTGCCAGCTATTTTAACAAGCTCAAAAGGATTTGGGATCAAATGAAGGTGCTTATACTTTTATGATTTTGTAGCTGTGATTGTAAGTGTGGTGCTAAAACTCACAACCATAAGGTGAATGAAGACCAAAAATTGATTCAATTTCCTGATGGGACTGATGAAGCCTACAATGGAGTGAGAGGTAACATTCTAATGATGAAACCCTTACCTTCTACTGCTCAAGCCTATTCCATTGTATTACATATGAGTCAAAGAGAAATTCAGTCTGGTACTTTCCTTTTCTGTAGTCTTCTGCTTTTTATGGTTTCTGGGCAAAATGGCTCCTCAGAAACATCATGGAGGAGCCAAAGTTGGTGTTTAAACTCAGGTGCTGATAGAAAATGGAGTGATCTCTTCTGCAAATAACTGCAAAAAATCTGGGCATGTCAAGGAGGTTGCTATAAATTAATAGGATACCCACCACATTTTAAGTTTAACAAGCAGAAACAGGGTGCATATGCTACTCCTAAATGCAAATTCAGCCAAGTTTGTACACCTGAACTCGCCACAGGAATTTCAGGAAATGTTGTTTCCTCTCTTGTTCAGTCTCATGGATTTTCTAAAGAGGAGTCGAGAGTTGATTAGTAAGTTTCAATATGTGCAGATGGAGGATCCACTTCAACCCCTGCTCCCTCACCGATGCTAATCTAGCTGGTATACACTTTGCTTGTCACTTCTTTACCTCTTTGTTTTCTCCGCTCACATCCCATTCCTTGGATCATAGATTCAGGAGCATCTCAACATATGACATATCAAAATACCCTGTTCACACAATATACAGTTTCTGTCCACCACCAATTTTGGTCAGCCTCACCAATTCCCTTAAAGTAAAAGTACATTTATATAGGAAGTCTATTCCATAACTCCTGAATTTGACTACACCATGTGTTATTTGTTCCTTCTTTCAGGCGCAATTTTTTATCAGCTACCAATTGTGCTACCAATTTTAATTGTGATCTTCTTGTTTAAAACGTTTGGTTTGCTGATACAGTCGCCTTCAAAGAAGAGGGATTAGATTTTTGGTAAAGCTGCATCAGGCTCTATGTGCTGAAGGATAACACTCACCAGTTGCATTCGATCGATCAAGCCTCATGCACCAGTCTCTTCTCTTTCTAATGTCACGTCCAAGTCTTGTAGTCCCGTGTCTTTTTGTAAGTATGAGTCAGTTGTCCAAAATCTTTGGTTATCCAGGATCTGTCCATCCTGGTTATCAAGGAAAATCAAATGCATTATGAATAATGTTTTCTCTATTTCCCATGTTTCTATTGTGGATAACTATGGCATTCAAGATTGGGACATTCCTTTTAACAGCTATGAAGCAATTAAAGACATTCCTATTTTAACTTTTTAGATAAAGAAGACTGCCCTTGCACAATTTTGCGCCTATGCAAGACCAGTCGAAACTGCCTTTTTTCCTAGTAAAATCAGCCTCCAACCATCTGTTTTGACTAATACATATTAGACACCTGGGGACTTATAAAACTTCCTACTTTATAAACGGTGAAGAGCATTTTCCTTACATTGTTGATGAATTTTTCTAGGAGACCTGGACTTATCTTCTTCCACTAAGTCTAATGCTTTTACCACATTAACACTTTCTTGCCTCTGTCAAAGACAGTTCTACTAAAGTTAAGGTGATTAGGTCTGATAATTGCCCTAGAGCTGGGGACAGACTTATACCTAAAGATTTCTTCTATTCTCAAGGAATACTACACCAACCAGTTTGATGTCTCTACCCCATAGCAAATGGGGTAAGTTGAGCGCAAACACAGGTATCTTTTGGAAACTTGTAGGGTCCTTCTCTTCAATCTAATGTACCTAAGAATTTGGGGTGACCCTGTACTGAGATGATCCACGCTCTCTATATGCTGATTGCTGCCTGGCCCTGCCTGGGCTGGGGGTGCTCGAAAGTAACCCTGAAGTGCCTATCTGAGTAGGTTTATGCTTACTGACTGCTACTTTTCTTATTAATTAGATTTCCTTCTCGAGTGCTACATCACAAAAGATCCCTATGAAATGCCTTTTTTGGTTCTTCTCCTGCTACTCTTCTTAAAGTTTTTGGATGCTTATGCTTTGCTTCTACTCTTTTCCCTTGGTAAAGGGATAAACTCAGCACTAGAGCAATTCCAGAGTGTTTTTAGGGTTCTTTTTGGTAAAAAAGGATATAGATTCTCCAATTTAACAAACAACAATATTTTTGTTTCCAGGGATGTCCAGTTTTGTCGAAACTATTTTTTCCATTTTCTTTCCCTGCAGCCAATGAACTAGGGTTGTTTCCTTGATTTTTTCCCGAATCTGTTCTTCCTCACATAATATTTCCTACTTCAAAGGCTTCCAGTCCCCATTCACTACAACATTCAACCACTAGTCTCATTCCTTATTAGTCTACTTTCTCCTCATGGCGTTTCTTCTCTCCTACTGGGCCACAACTCCTACATCACCTAATTGTTTTATACCCTTCTCCACCTGCAGGTACACAAGACTCTTCAGAACCAGTGTTATCCTCATCACATGGACCTGAGCTGCGCAAATACACAAGAGTTCACAATGACCCTAAGTATCTCTCAGATTATCTCTGCAATAATGCTTCTTCTATTTCTCCTAATCCTCATTTCCTTCCATTCCATTCTTTTTGTTTCTCTGCCTTGACTAAAGAGAACCAGGGGCTTATTTCTTCTATATGTCATATTAATGAACCTCAAACATATCACCAAGCAGCTGCTCATCCTGGATGGCAAGATGCCATGGTAAAGGAGTTTGAGGCATTGGCGTCTAATCATACTTGGGATATTGTCGAATTGCCTGAAGGGAAGAAGGCATTGCCCTGCAAGTGAGTTTACAAAGTTAAGCTGAAATCTGATGGGACTTTGGAGCGACTGAAAGCGAGATTGGTAATTCGGGGGGACACACAAAGGGAAGGAATTGACTATACTGATACCTTCTCTCCAGTTGTGAAAATGACAACAATCCGCTGCATTCTGTCTATTGCTGTGAAAAGAAATTGGGATTTGTTTCAACTTGACGTCAATAACGCCTTCCTCCATGGTGAATTAGATAAAGAAGTATATATGAGGTTCCCACCTGGACTATCTCCTCCATCTCCTGCTCATGTTTGTCGACTTAGAAAATCATTGTACGGCCTCAAACAGGCTTCTCGTCAGTGGTATGCACGTTTGTCTTCTGCTTTGGGAACCAGAGGTCCTCACTTAATGACTACTCCCTTTTCTTCAAAGTATCTGGGGATTTGATAACCATTCTTGCGGTTTACGTGGATGATGTCTTGATCACTGCTAATAATCAAGCAGAAATCAATGAGATCAAACAATTTCTTGACATGGAATTTAAAATAAAGGATTTGGGGTTGGCACATTATTTCTTGGGTTTAGAATTGATCAAGGAAACAGGAGGTTTAATTGTCATACAAAGAAAGTTTGCTTTAAAGTTACTTACAGATTTTGATTGCTTGGATGTTCGACCAGCTTCTTCTCCATTGGATCCTTCCATTAAGCTTTCTTCCAGTTGTGGTGAACCTCTCCCTGATCCGACTGTTTACCGACGTCTTTTGGGCAAGCTGAATGTTTTAACTAGCACACGTCCAGACCTTTCTTTTGCTGTGCAAACTCTCAGTCAGCAAATGTAATCTCCCTATACTGGACATTACCAAGCAGCATTGCATGTTTTGCGTTACATTTCCAAGGATCCAGGTCTTGGTTTGTTCATGTCTTCTGAACCTTCATTTCAACTCTTAGCTTTCTGCGATGCCGACTGGGCTTCTTGCTCCAATACACGCCGTTCAGTGAGTGGTTTTTTCTTATGTCTTGGTGGTTGCCCCATTTCATGGAAATCTAAGAAGCAGCAGGTAGTCGCTCTTTCTTCCGCAAAAGCGGAATACCGTTCAATGCGCCGATTAGCTGCTGAAATAACTTGGGTGGTCCGATTGTTGCACGACCTATCTGTTGTGCCCTCTTTGCCGGTTCCTCTTCATTGCGATAACCAAGCAGCCATCCACATAGCAAAAAATCTCGTCTTTCATGAACGGACCAAGCATATTGAGCTTGATTGTCACTTCGTTCGTGAAAAACTTCTGGATGGGTTGATCTCTTTGTCTTTTGTTCCTTCTTCTTCTCAAATGGCCGATCTTTTTACAAAAGCACTAGCTGGTCCTTTGTATGGATCTTTTCTGGGCAAGCTTGGAGTCCGATCACCGGTCTCCAGCTTGAAGGGGGTGTTGCCGGACAAAATCCTCATTCTACCATTTCCGATGAGTCTCCGATTACAGAAAGAGAAGGAGACGTGACCTAGTTGAGAGAAAGAACATCTAAGGTTCTCAAAGATTGCTATGATTAAGACGTGTGTCCTCCATCATGTGTCTGATAAGCTGCACAGCTGTGGAATTCTAGAAACAACATTAAGGGTAGATTAGGGATTTTACCATGTAACTATTTTCCTTTTGCAATTATTTATTTTACAATTCTGTTAGAGTTTGTTAGCGTAGAAAGATGCCTTGTCAGGCAATTTTACTTGTATATAAAGAGCACACACTGTCTAGATGACAAATAGAATGATACAGAAAGAAAATTCCCACAATGATTTCTCCTAAATCCTTCATGAACTCCCCACTGTCTCACAATGCGCCCATGGATAGATGCTTTAAATAGGCCATACAATCCTTAACGTCTGTACCAGATGCCTGCAGCAAAGAATAAAATGGTATGCAGGTAAAGCAAACACACCAGCCATAAGTTCTGGACACTTTACATTCTTTCTCTAGCACTGTTTTATTGCATATCAATTTGGCTTTGATGAATGTATAGTCATACTTTCCGGATAGCTCCGAATCAGGATCACAAATGCCTGCTCCCATGACAGTCACACAGCATATAGCAAAGCCCTCAAACTTATCATTGTACCAACTATTGGGCAGTTCATATGAGATCGTTTGCTTAGTATTTTGATGCTTAAACCATGTGGGAATTGCAAGACCGGGAAAGACAATAGAGCAACTTACTCGGTGATTAGAGTTAAGAGAATGGATGACCACATCATCCATATTGTTCGAGAGAAACAAACAGAAGATCTCATCCAAAACTGAGCTACCACCGCTCTTCTCTGTACAAGATGGCTGATCAAATCTGTAACTGGTGAATGATACCAAATTCAATCTTAGATACATCAGTAGCTTTAAACTACTTTGTCTGGCCAGAAAATCATCTGCATATAATTCCTTAATACTTGAAGGAAGTTTAGGAAGTTCCTTAAGCTTCTGACAGCGTGTTATGTTGAGATATTGAAGTCGACTGATGCCGTTAGGTAAAGAAGTAAACGGGTTTCTACTCAGGTTTAATTCCAGTAAAGAGGGCAAGGGTATAAGAGCACTAACTTCGTCACCAGCTAAATGGCACCCACTGAGATCTAAGCTTTTCAATTTCTGCAAATCACCAAATGAAGATGCGAGTATCAAACTCCCGGTGAATTGGCTCCTATGTCCCCTTCTTAATGACAGGACTTTAAGTTTGCTGAAGTTCCGAACAGAATCTTGTAATTGCCGAATGGCTATGTTGCCAGCATAGAATTCCTCCAACTGTTGTAGATCACCTAGGTTTTCTGGAAAGTTTTCGAGCAGCCTTTAAGATTCAAAATTCTCAGCTTTCTCATCTCAGAAACGCTTGTTGGGAGTGTTACAAGGTTCTTGCACGAACGCAAATCAAGCAAATGAATCCCAGTTAGCCGTCCTATTGATGAGGGCAGTTCCCATATTGCGGTATGCCCCAAAAGGAGGTCTGACAGCAAGTTCATTTTCCCCTTAATTTCTGGAAATCTTCCTAATTTCTCGCAACCAGAGAGGTTAAAGCTTTCAAGTGATTCCATCTGAATAATGCTTGGTAACCACTCAAGATTTTAGCAGTTTTCCATGTCCAGAAAAATAAGCTTTTTGAGATTCCCTATGGATGGATGAACCTCTATCAAACAAATCTGGAACCAAAATGTGGTTCTTTTGGACTCACGATACATAAATATGTGGAAAAAAAAAAGACATTTTTATATATAGTGCCAAAATACTTGGCGCTATACATTAACGTTAACTGTGCCGTTAATGTACAGCACCAAGTATTTTGACACTATACTGAAAAAGCTGATACGCCCAGGTATATAGCGCCAAAATACCTGACGCTATACGTTAGGGATAGACTGTAAAGAATTAAATGTTTGTTTTTTAATTTAGTCTGTTTTGTCAGGGTGTTTCGTTGGGTCATTGGTTATAGTGCTTTGGGTTTATTGTTATGTTTTTTGGAAACTTAAAAAAGAACTGTTGGGGAAATAGTCACCAATCAGTGAAAGAATACGTCTTCTTGATTTTGATGATCTCAAGATACATGTTTTACTAATTCAAGAAAATATTAAAGTATTCAGAAGGATAAATTTGCTCCGGTCAAATTTACTTGTTCACTATTTTCAAAATAAATGTCCACTTTTATTTGTTCATTTTGAAATAATGTACCATTTTAATTCAAGAAAATATTAAAGTGTTCCGAAGAATAATTTCTTCCCATCAACTTTAATTGATTTTTTTTATTGTTTTACATATATTTAGAAATTTATCTTTTAACATTAACTAAAAATAAAATTAAACATATTAACCTTAATTTGTTCATCGAAAATATAACAAACACTCCAAGGCTCTTTACTCTAAGGACAGCTTTAGGAAAAAAAATTAATTCCTTCTTTATATTCGAAAAAATTAAATATTGTGGACCACAAAAAAAGGTCAAAAGTTAAATAAAGTGGACCGGGGAGAGGGGGGTTATAACAATGAATTTTAATTTGTTATACTCCCTCCATTCATTTTAATCGATTTTTTTGAATGTTTCACGCATATTAAAACAAATCACTTTTTAGCATTAATTAACAATAAAATTGACCTACCTTAGGCCTCATTTGTTTTTTTAAAATTAAGACAATAAATCTGGATATACATCTTAATATTTTAAGACATTTAAATGTTTTTTTAAAATTAAGATATTTAAATGTCTTAATTTAGAAAAACAAATGAGGCCTAAGGTAGGTCTCTATAAATAGAGATCTCTATTAATAGAAATCTATATTAATTTTATAGAGATCTCTATAAATGATTTTATTTATTTTAATTGTGTGAATCTATTTTCTTATTAATTTGTTTAGAGAATAATTTTTTTATAAATTTAAGAATAATGTAATTTATAGTTTTTAATTTTACCATGAGTGAGTTGATTTATAGCAGTACAATATTTATGACTCATTTTTTATTAGAAGTATCAAAAGTTTTTCATATTTTTTAATTTTATATTCAATCTTTTATTATAAGTATCAAAAGTTTTCCATATTTTTTTTAATTTTATATTCAATCAAACAAGTTCACGTAAATTGAACTAGAGAGAGTTTTGAGAGAGTTTTGTAGGCATTTGACTAGAAAAGATTTCAAGGTGAAATAAAGATCTTTTGATATAAAATGTTGAGTTTAACGTTAATTCTAACATTTTATAGCATTAAATTATTGTAAAAACATGACACAAAAAGATAAATGTAAATGTGATTTAGACAAATTTAAGTGTTGGATGTGTAATTTTAAATTATAAATACCACATAAAATACTAGAACTAAGGAAGTTAGTAAATGGCGAGTGGAAGAGAGTTTTATAGCGTGGGACAACAGAGTACTGGGGAAAGCACGTCGGGGTGGTGCGTACGGTATTTTGGTGGGGCCAGGAAAAAGGGGTATAGCGCCAGATATTTTGGCACTATACCTGGGCGTGTCAGCATTTTTATTATAGTGCCAAAATACTTGGCTCTATACTTAACGGCACAGTTAACGTTAATGTATAACGCCAAGTATTTTGGCATTATATATAAAAATGTCATCTTTTTTTCCATCTATTTATATATTTTGAGTCCAAAAAAATCACATTTTGGTTCGAAACTCCTATCAAACTTACACAACCTTTAAGGACAACTCTCTGCAGATGTGGGGTATCCGAGAAATTGGGTGTTCTGAGCAAACTCTCTGAAAAATTTAAATTAAGGATTGCCAGCTTGTCAAATTCCTGTTAAAGCGAAAGTAAAGGAACGTCAGCATTAACTGCCTCTTTTATTTAAAAAATATTTTTTTTATTCAATACTTGAAACTCTTTCATGAAATAGATCAATAAATACCTTAGGGTGACATAACAAGTCAAATCAACGACCAATAGAGTTGTGCCAAGTGTCTGGATGGTATTGGTTAGTTCAAATGGACTAATCAAATTTCAGAGCCACACTACCCCCTACAATTATAAATAGAGGTCTTCATAAAGCTAGAAGACACCAGAAGTGATAATAAGAAGCAAGTAGAGAGCTCGCTGATCAGACACCGTAGATTTCTCTACAAGCTACAAGTTCAAGATCAAGAACGAAAGCAAATCAAATACCAAGGCATCCGAGATCAAATTACTTGTTCGTGATCAAATCCAAATCCAAGTTCAAGAAGGAAATTCAAGACCAAGCTTTTCAAACCCTGAATCAAATTAAAGTCAAGTTCATTAAGATACTTTACATTCTTGAAGAATTAGAGGAATATCATAGAGATTGTAACACTCAATAGTTATTGAAATCAAATACTACATTTGTTATGCAATTTTCTAGTCTTGATTATTTATTTTTCTCGACGCGTTTGTTGTTACATGCCGCTTTATTTTTACCAAACAAAATTAGGATCAAAGCAGTCCTATTTTCATTTATTCCGTCCATAGCAATGGTACTGTAGTCCTAGTTATTTAAGAAATTAAAAGTGTCAAATAGTTGTTATTAGAACACTGATAGAGTAGAGTAGAGCTCGTTTGATTAAAGTTAAGAAAAGAAAAAGGAGCAACTCTTAAGCACCAAGCATTGAAGAGTCATACTTTAAAATTTATCCTCAAGTTAAAGTTCCTTTAGGGATCAAGGGTAAAAATGTAACTCTTTCTTAACTGCACGGTAATATTAGATTAAAAGTTTGACGGAGACACAAATTGCTCAATTTTAACTAGTATAAAAACAAATTTGACCCTCTTTAATTTTTGTCATCAATTTGATCATTTTCCCTTCATTAAATTAGTTTTGTAAAGACTAAAGACCTAGGGATGACCTATGCTTAGGCATGGTTAGAATGTTTCAGTTTATAAGATGACATTGTCTCTTTGAATCTGTACCCAACTATCAGAGGCGGACCCAAAATTTGGAAACGAGGTGGGCACCACTATCTTTAATATAATTTGGCGTTCAACTCTCTTAAAACTCAAAGATAATG